CTGCCTCGAACTGCTCATCCTCTGCAACAATGAAACCAGATAACCATCAATGAATAAAGTGTAAAGCCTGGGAAAATTTGAGAGCAATGCGTTTTTATTAGTACCTTTATCGGTCTTGAAATCAGCAAACAAACGTAGAAGCTTGCTTCTATTGGCAACAAGTATGCTAACAATGTCGGGAGGTTTATTCTGATTGTAAGGATAATTTCTGTCACAAAGGAATGATGTGTAAGGATTGGTTGTTTAAACAAATGATAAACAGCTATAACCACACTCATTAAAATCCCTAAATCTTTTATTATGATGCGTTAAAAAGAGACAAATCTATCTACTTCCTCAAAATGATTTTCTCGCACTTATCTCTTATTCATATCTAAATCATATGTATTGAACTTTATTCATGAATTAGTTCATTAGTTGAAGTGCGATTAGGTTATGACATGAAATTAGTAATTTGTGGATTTCATGCAACAGAAGCCCTTAATCCACGTGTTTCACATGGATGCTAAATTTCATGTGATATGACGGTGTTGGGATACAATTATTTTTGGCACCAATATAAATTAACCCTAATTGTATGTGCTTATTTGCATCTTTCCAACGAAGGCAAGAAAAGGCAGAATAGCTAGCTACCTAGCTTTCATTCCGTTTTTCAAACTTAGAAAATATGGCACAAATTCTTGCTCTTCCCAATAATCTAAAAGAGCAAACCATAGTTACTGTTGCCAATGCCATGAAAAATGGCAAAGAAATACCAGAAAATTATATCCATAGAGGTTTTGCTGCTGTAGGGCTTGGCGTCTCGCTTCCCCTCTTGGAGATTCCAGTTATTGACATTAGTCTTCTTCCATCTTCACCACATGAATTGGAGAAACTTCGATCTGCTCTTCTCTCCTATGGATGTTTTCAGGTCTGAGTAGTTTTATGTAGTATAAGATTCTGATATAAAACATTATATATAGAATTCTTAATTTTAGACATCATTAACAGATTTTTCCATGTATGTTTCAGGCAATCAACCATGGGTTTACAGAAGCATTTCTCAACAAAATTCGACATGTTGCAAGACAATTCTTTTCTTTACCAGAGAAGCAGCATTACTCTAAAGTTGGTTTTGCAAGATACAAATCATCAGATGATTCAGAAAATCGAGCACTTCCTTGGGCTGAGAAGCTCTACCTTATGTTAAGCACAAAAGATGAGGAAATGCTCAAACGTTGGCCCCAAAATCCCAAACC